CCAAACTAGAACACCCTTCTAGAGGCACGTAAACAGTGAAGGCTGAGGAGAGCACACTCCCCCGGTGGCATTCCCTGTGCATCCTATACAAGGAGGGGCTGTCACTCTAAGAGAAAATTCTAGTTTGTTCATAACTAGTTCGCAAGTCCTATCTAGTTCCCTGTCATTCCCTCAATAGATTCAGGATCTTGATGACTAGTGTAACTATGTAGTATTTAAACTGTAAATCGAAGTAAAAGCATTTCTTGCACTTAAATCTCATGTCCTGAACACAAATAATTTGTAAATAAATGCTGAAATAAATCTGGAATTTGCACACACTCTACCTAAACGACTAAAGACAGAATTGTCGAGAAGAAAGAAAGATGGAACGAGCCTATCATAGAAAAATAAGCAGCTGTCTGTAGAACTGAGAAAATGAGCAATTTCTGAAAGATTCTGATGTGTTTGCTTTGATCACTGCCAATGTCTTCCCACCTTCTTCCTTTCCTTACTGTCATTACCTCTTATAAAAGCTTCTAGAACTCTCCCCTCACTGCACTTCCTCCTAGTGTTTTAAAAAATGTAACTCCCCAAATTTCTTGTTCATTCCACTGCAGCAATTCTCTTCTTTGTGTTTACATTAGTAAGTGAGCTTTAAAGAAAAGTGCCACGAAGAACATAAATATGCATCATCTTCAGTTAACCACTATGTCCAAGTGCATAGCAATATCACAAACAGTGTGCATGCCAGAAATGTATATTGAGTGTTCACTCCCCAGTCTTTAACCCCTAATAATCCAAAAATATAAAAATAGTTCTTCACCAAACAAAATGCCCTCCTTTCTTAGCCTAAAAGTACATACCTTAAGGAACTTGGTAATGATGTCCATGTCTTTGTGATCATCACCTTTTCCTAAAGATTCTCCCAATGCCCTAAGAAAAATAATGCCCCTGCTCATTAGTAAAGAGCAACGACTGAATATATATGTTATCAACACTGGTCTAAACATGGCTCTTTATTACACAGATTGTCCAATTTCTATTTTAAAACCTGATGGAATTTCTAGATATTTTTTAAAAAAACAATAACTTGCCATTTAAATTTTGAAAGCATGTTATCTTTTATGAATCAAAAAACAGAAGAGTGAATATGAGAAGTAACCGCTAATGCATATGAGATTTCTTTTCAGGGGAACAAAATTGTTCTAAAATTATATTTTGATGACGATTGTACCATCCCATGAATATACTAAAAAACATTTAATTGTATGTACGTTTTAAATTGGTAAATTGTATGGTTTGTGAATTTCTCAATAAAGCTGTTAAAGAAAAGGAAAGGGGGAAAAGCCCAGAACTGATTGCTCACACCAACTTTCCAGTAAAATTTAGGGTCCATAGATAGGTGTTAGGGTCAGGGGTACAATTAAAAGGACACCCTCCTCCATCATGATGTCCACATGTTCAAGAGCCAGGAATGAAAGGAAAAATACAACTAACACTTTACATTTTATTAAGCATTAAGAGCTTTAAACTAAGCCATATGTTTGCTAGAGTTAGATATTTGGATGATACAACATTGCTCTTTATTTGAGATTACATATATCACTCCACATTCAACAGACTGTCACTAATTAGAAAGCAAAAGACTGCCCAGTGTTGATAGGAATTGGGGATGTAAGATACATCCAGTGGGTAAGGTACAGACTGAGACAGCCATTCTGGAGAGCAACTTAGCAGTACTTACACAAGTTAAATATATATAAACCAAACAATCCCACTTCTGAGTTCATAGGGGTGATGTATAAGATTATTTATCACAAAGCTGTTTGTGGTAATAAGGAGCTGTGAGAAATCTAGTTGTCCATCATTTTGGTTGACCAGAGGTAAAAGTTAGTGAATGCCACAGGGTATAAACTATTACTTAGCAGTTAAAAGCAAAGGTTTAGATGTACATAAGGCATAAAGGATGGTTATTAAAAACACAGTTCAAAGTATAAAAAGGAAAAGTAAAAAGCCCAAAGAAGAATTTCACAGTACAACCACTTATGGAAATCAAAAGCACATGCTCACAAAACACTACTAGTTTTAGAAGACCATAAACAAATAAAACAATGCACATCAAACATATTAGAATGACTACTTTTAAAGGCAGGAAGTAGGGGAATGTGAGTAGAGAATGAGAAATAAAGGGACTGACTGAATGAAAGCATGAAATGAAAGAAGGGCCTTTGTAATGACCAAAGACAAGAGTGTACTCTGAACTGAGCACTCCAGTGAACTCAACCATTTGCTACCGGGAATGAAAGGTATGAGGGGGAAATGAGGTAAGGTGGGTGTAGTGATTATCTCTAACTCTTCAATGATGGTGTTTTCTTTATGAAATTTCAAATCATTCTGTGTGTCTTCCTCTCCAGGTTCTTTTTTTTTTTTTTTTTTAATATATCTTTATTGATTTCAGACAGAGGAAAGAAGAGAGAGGGAAAGAGATAGAAACATCAGTGATGAGAGAGAGAGTCATTGGCTGCCTCCTGCACAACCTCCTGCTGGGGATCAAGCCCGAAACCTGGGCATGTGCCCTGACCAGGAATGGAACCTTGATCTCCTGCATTGTAGGTCAATGCTCAGCTGCTGAGCCATGCCAGCTGGGCCCTCTCCAGGTTCTTGATCACCCAGAAGTTCATTGAGGTATTGCTGATAGATCTTATCCAAAGCTGTTTTCAGATCATTCCTCAATCTCTGAGAAAGGTGAAAAATTACACCTTGTATGAAAGTTCACAGATCTTTCTCTTGATTTTTTCACTAATAATAAGTATAATTCATCTCAGACTATCAGTCAAGATGGTGAAGTAGGTAAACACTGAGCTTGCCTCCCTCTTCTCATGACCACATCAAAATTACAACTAAATGATAGAACAACCATCATTGAGAACCACCTGAAGACTACTCTGAACTCCCAAAACATTAAAAAATAGCAATAGTATAAAACTAGTGTCTAATCTATATCCAAGGCTATCACTACATTTCTAATAGCAGCAAATTCCACAATCTACTCACATCCAGTTTGTGACCATTTAATAAAAATGGAAGTCTTAAAGCTTGACCCTTACCATACACCATATACAAAAATTAACTCAAAATGGACCAAAGACCAAATGTAAGAGCTAAAACTATAAAACTTAGAAGAAAACATAGAGAGAAAGCTTCATGACATTGGATTTGGGAATGATTTCTTGTATACAGCACCACAAGCACAGGCAACAACAACAAAAATACATAAGTTGAACTCCATCAAAATTAAAAACGTGTATGCATCAAAGACTACCAATAGAGTGAAAAGATAACCCATGGAAAAGGCAGAAAATATTTGCAAATCATATATCTGATAAGAATCGATATCTAGAATACATAGAAACTCCTACAACTTAACAACAAAAACAACCAACACGATTAAAAAATGGGCAATAGACTTGAAGGGAACACATACAAATGGCAAGTAAGCAAATGAAAAGATGCTCATCACTAGTAAGTAGGGAAATGCAAATCAAAACCATAATAAAATTCTATATCCAAGGCTATCACTACACACCCATTAGGATGGCGATGATAAAAAATAAAGCAAAACAAACAAACAAACAAAACTCAGAAAATAACAAGTGGTGGCCAGGATATGGAGAAATGGAACCCTGTGCATTACTGGAAATGTGAAATGGTGGAACTGCCATGAAAAACTGTTGGCAATACCTCAGAAAGTTAAACATATCCACACCAAGAAATATTATAATTAAAATGTCAAAAGTTAAAGACAAGGACAGAATGTCTACTATCAACAAATCAACCAACAACAAGTGCTGGTAAGGATTTGGAGAAAAGGGAACCATAGTACAATGCTGGTGGGAATGCAGACTAGTGCAGCCACTATGGAAAACAGTATGGAGTGTCCTCAGAAAATTAAAAATGGAACTGCCATTTGACCCAGTGATCCCACTTCTAGGAATATATCCTAAGAAACCTGAAACACCAATCAGAAAGAACTTATGCACCCCTATGTTCATAGCAGCTCAATTTACAATAGGTAAGATCTGGAAACAACCCAAGTACCCATCAGTAGAGGAGTGGATAAAAAATCTGTGGTACATTTACACCATGGGATACTATGCAGCTTTTAAAAAGAAGGATCTCTTACCCTTTGGGACAGCAAGGATGGGACTGGAGAGTATTATGCTAAGTAAAGTAAGCCAGTCAGAGAAAGACAAGTACCACATGATCTCACTCATATGTGGAATATAATAAACAAAATAAACTGACGAACAAAATAGATCCAGAGACAGAGAAGCATGGAACAGACTGAGGGATCTCAGAGGGAAGGCGGGGGTGGGGAAGTGGGTGGGGAGAGATTAATCAAAGGTTTTATATGCTTATATGCATAACCTATGAACACAAACATTGGTATGGGGAAGGCTTGGGGGTGGGGTGGATGCAGGGTGAAGGGGATCCGTGTGGGGAAAAAGAAGACATCTGTAATACTTTCAACAATAAAAATAAATTTTAAATATATATATTTTTTTAATTAAATACAAGGAAAGATTTTAAAAGGAGCAAGAGGAAAACAACTTGTTATACACAATGAAACCCATATAAGACAATCAGCAGGTTTTCAGCAGGAACTTTGCAAGTCAGAAGGGACTGGTGCAATATATTCAAAGTACTGAAAGAAAAAACTTCCAACCAAAAACCCTATACCTGGCAAAGTTATAATTCAGACTTGAAGGAGAAATAGTTTTTCAGATGAGCAAAAGCTAAAGGAGTTCATCACCACTGAACAGGCCTTATAAGGAATGTTTAAGGGATTTGTTTAAGCTAAAAAGAAAGGGTCCTAATTAGTAACTAAGAAACAATATGAAAGTATAAATTTCACTAGTAAAGGTAAATATAGAGAAAAGGTAGTGAATTAATCACTTTTTAAAGCTAGTATGAAGGTTAAGACAAAGGTAGTAAAAATTATAACTGCAATAATAAGTTAAGGGTTACACAAGGCAAAAAGATGTAAAATGTGATATCAAGAACATAAAACATGGGCTGGGTAAAGTAAAAATGTATGGCTTTAGAATGTTTTCAAAGTTAAGCAGTTATCGACTTAAAATAGAATGATCCAGTTACAGAATAAATAAGTCATGAGTATGTAACATACAGCATGGTGACTATAGTTAATACTGTACTGCACATTTGAAAGTTGCTAAGAGAGCAACTACCAAAAGTCCTCATCAAAAATAAAATTGGGAGGGAGGAAACAAGATGGCGTAGTAACAGCTGCACCCGCCGCCTCCCACAACCACATCAAAATTACAACTAAAACACAGAACCACTATCACTCAGAGCCGCCTGAGATCTAGCTGAACAGAAGCCCCACAACCAGGGAACTGAAGGAGCAGCGAGACCGGGAGGAGGGGTGGAGACGCGGGCAGATCAGGGCTGGATCGAGGAGATGAGGCCATGGGCCCACACCCGGTGCCACAGTTTAAACCCGAGAGGGGATCTCTGTGGTGGGGGTTTCCCAGAGGAGCGAGGGGTCGCAGCCCCACAGCAGGCCCCCAGCCCAGGGCTCCAGGGCCAGGAAGAGACATCCCCATAACTCCGGGCTGTGAAACCAGCAGGGACTGTGGCTGAGGGTCTCGGAGGCTGCAGGAGTCCCAGGCAGCTCCTCTTAAAGAGCCCGCACACAGACTCACTCAGACGAGCACCAGCGTCAGGCAGCAGCCTGAGAGGAACCTGGGACACTTGGGGAGGAACTAATCTGCCTATAAATCAGGGCGAGGGGTGGAGGGGCAGCTTTCTCCCAGGCAGAAGAGCTGGCAGAGGCCAGTGCTCCTTTGGCAAGCCCTCCCCACACACAGCCAGCAGGCAGGCACCATATTTGAATCTCCAGAATCTGACACACCTTTGGCCGCAACCTGGTGATTCCTGGAGGCCACGCCCCTACCTATCTGCAAGCTCATCCAGGCCATTTCCAGGGGCTTTTCTGTGCAAGCGGCTTCTCAGGCCTTATGCTTAGGACTTTCCTAAAATCTCTCAAACAAGCAGCAGCATGCCCCATAGGGCTTGATAAGTGGCCCCAGGCCTGGCACTAGTGGAAACCTGCATTAGTTCATAGCTTGGCCTCTCTTGGACACCTCCAAGCCCAGCACAAGTAGCAGCCATCTAATGTTTGCTATGTAGCTCATGCTGGGTGGCCTTGGGCAAGGCACTGGCAGAGGCTGACTTTGCATCTCCTGGGAGGCCCCAGAGACAGTGCACTTGGTGGTCAGACTCCACCATGCTGGAATACAACCCTACCACATCCACAAGTGACACACTCAAGGGAGGCACTTGAACACCAAAGCTCCACTGAAGTAAATCCTGCTCCATAAGGGTGTCTCCAACACACCAGCTCTTTGGCCGTAGTTGCAGCTGGTTCTCACAGCTGATTGGCCGGGGGGGGGGAGGTTAATTCCTCCCAGTGACGCCAACAGCAACCAAGGCTCAACTACAACAGGACAGTGCACACAGCCCACACAGGGGAGCACCTAGAGGGCCCAGCTCAGGTGACTGGGGAGGCTGAGCCACTGGACCCTACAGGACATCTACTAAACAAAGCCACTCTACAAATTTCAGGAGACATAGCAGCTCTACCTAATACATAGCAACAAACACCTGGAAGCAGCCAAAATGTGGAGGCAAAGAAATATGTCACAAAGGAAAGAACAGAAGAAATCTCTAGAAGAGGAACTAAATGAAATAGATCCAAGCAAGCTAACAGATACAGAGTTCAGAATTTTGTTTCTAAGGATGTTCAAGGATATTAGTGAGACTATTACGAAAAAAAGTGAGACCATCAATGACCTAATAAAGTACCTATCAGAAAGGAAGGCTACACAAACTGAAATGAGCAATGATTTGCAGGGAATCAACAGTAGAGTAGAGGACGCTGAGAATCAAATCAGCAATTTGGAACATGAAGAAACAAAAACACCCAACCAGAAGAGCAAAAAGAAAAAAGAATCCAGAAATATGAAGATAGTATAAGAAGCCTCTGGGACAACTTCAAGAGGCCCAACATTCATATTATTGGGATGCCAGAAGGAGAAGAAAGAGAGCAAGAAATTGAAAACCTTTTTGAAAAAATAATGACAGAAAACTTCCCCTACCTGGGGAAAGAAATAGACTTATAAGTCCAGGAAGCACAGAGGGTCCCAAACAAGAGGAACCCAAAGAGGCCCACAGCAAGACACATCATAATTAAAATGCCAAAGGT